TATGGATCTTTATAAAATAAATAAAGTATTCAGCTGAGATTCAGTGTTCTTTTCCTCAAATAGGATTCAATGTAATAACTTCTGGTAAAATGGGAGTGAGGAACAAAATCCTACATATATGATATCAGAAAGTATTTCTATGAAGACAGAGGAAGAATAATTCTTCATCACAAAATATAAAACTATTGGGATCAATGTTGAACCTTGCATTCATCCATTGTGTTCAATATGTTCACATGTGTATGTCACGTAAGGTTCATATTCATTTAAAGTGTTAACGAGAGGCTTCGAAAAAAAAAATCTGAAATGTTTTTGAACAGCTCTGATTTTACCAAAAGTCATCTCTGCTGAGCTAAAGGCTGCTAATGACATATCAAGGTGTAAATGTTGCATATCATATCTTCTTATTGTTTTATTTTAAAGGTGCACCGTCATATTTGGATGGCAATCTAACAAAAAGCAGTGTTGCCGGATATTTGTATTGTAGTGTTTTTGAATCCAATGAATTTCATCCAGAACTAAAAAGAATACAACTCTGAGTTTTTATCAAACTGCCCATAAACTGGTGTGTGTGTGTGTGTGTGTGTGTGTGTGTGTGGTGTGTGTGTGTGTGTGTGTGTGTGTGTGTGTGTGTGTGTGTGTGGGGGGGGGGCGCAACTTCCAACAGGAGTCATTTGGGGGGTCTCTGCGTGAAAAAGGTTGGGAACCCCTGCCTTAGACAACGTGTACAACATTTTAAGATATTTTCACTGCTTTACCTTTCAGCCTTTCTGAGGTAAGATGAAATAGCTTTTTCTGCAGAAGTGATTCTTTCACTTGTCAAATTCCTCGTATGTGTTAACCTACCTGGTAATACACCTGTTTCTGATTCTGATTATTTTCAAAAGCAGATCCAGGATATTGCAACACCTCACTTTCTGTAGCACATATTACCCAGAAATGAAACACAGGTGTGGCAAAGATGACTTCTTGTTCATTTGCAGAACAAGTTCCAACGGCATGTTGTGTGTAATTTAATTTCTTAAGGTGCCAATCCAAAGTGTATCAGCTACACTGAACAATAAACAGCTGTTACTGTGATGATTGAACAGCTTCTGTCTGTAAGCTCATGTGTGTTTTCACTGCAGGGTTTATTTGCTGTAATTTAAACTTTATTATTACAAACAAATGCTTGAATAAAACATGATTTTTTTCCAGATTCTTTTCCTGATTTTTTCACATTTTAGATCTTAAAAGACACCAAAAAGTTAACATTGTTCATTTGTCGGATTCTCAAATAATCTCTATTTAGCAATTATTTCCAGGTTGAGAAACACTTTAACTTATCTTTATTTAAAACAAGTCTAACAAACAGACAGATAGGAATCTTTAGGTGCACTATAATGTCACTAATATGTAATTTAATTTAGAGCTTTTATACATTGTAATTATTATTATTTGTGAGCAATTGATTTATTTTCACTTTATTCACTGTAGAAGCAACTATTAAATAATAAACAAGAATCCAGATAAAAACCAGTTCCTTGTTTCCCTGATCTAAATATTTCTTTCACCATAATAAGTGGTATGACGTACTTTAACAGAGTAACCGTTGTTGAACACCTTCTTTGGAAATAAACAGTTAAAGTCTGTGATTAGTAAAATATCCATAAAGAAAAAGAAAATCTGTTTACAGTTCTGTTTCATATGGATGTTGAGAGATGTATCCATAGATCTCTTCATTTTGCTCTCAAAGTGCACCAGATTGATGCTTTTAACTTCAATATTCCCGGGGGAGCATGCCCCCGGACCCCCCTAGAGGAGGTGAGGTCCGCCCCCCACTCATCAAAAATAGCACTTTACCCCTGCCTAAACGCCGTGAGCTGATTATCGAGCCTTCATTGTAACAGGGTCCACAGGGTGTACTGTGTGTGTGCGTGTGGGGAGTGTTGCAGTAGAAAATTCCACTGTGGGCTAAGCCCCGAATGTTTCCAGGTCCAGGCGACGCCCCTTGCATTCATGACGTAGTGCTTCATATATGTAATTTTGCGCTGTCCGGAGCTGACAGGTCCATGGAGCCTGCCTACAGGCGCTAATCTCAGGACCGAAGGACCGTAGTATAGTTGTCTTTATTTTTACGTTATTATTATTATTATTCAAAGATAAATAAGGAAGTGTGTGTTATATGAGATGGCAGCTCCGATTATTAAATCAAAGAGGCTTAATGTTTTATATTATATTATTTCACTATAGCTATGTAGACGGTGTCAAGGTCCAATGTTGACAAAATTAATCATATATATATATATATATAAATCGCCGGAGGGGGCCTCATCTTGGGGAGGGAGCCTCAACTGAGCCACAAATGTGGCGCACCTATGCGCTTATGTGGCGCAATCAGTGTGGCGCGGCACGGTCCCCCCCACCAAGCCTCTGAATTAGCACTAAGCTAAAAAATGCTAACGCACTTAGCACAGAACTCACGGTAGAAATATTGTATTACTCATCGGATCTGCACAAAGATATCACATGAAAGCTGATATTCCACAGATTCCAGAGGTATAAGTATCATCACTGTACGACAGTGGCGAGCCGTGAGCTTTATACCTAGGCCCTCTGACCCCCACCCCTTCCCTCGAAAAATAGAAAAAAAAAGAGTTATTACGTCACAGCGTATACTTCAGCGGAATATCAAAACAACGGCCCAGGGTGCAAAACGCATCAATGACAGCGACCCTCTACCACACAGAACAACACCTGTGAACCCAATGTGTGTTCTTTGACATTGAAAATGATATTGCATTGTGTTTGTTACTTTCGTTACAGTTGTATGTCTTAAGTGTAATTTGGCATGCTTTTATTTTGAAGGCGAGTTCACGCTGTTGACAGGAAGTTGTTGTTGCTATGGAAACAAGAAAAGCTTCACAGCGGGCGGAACTTGTCATAAAGTCCGCGATAATAAAACCCACCCATTTAGAGGGAAGATATGATTGGTCAATTGTACTGTCATTTGACATTACTCACTCGTTCAGTTACTATAGCAACCCTCTGTGAATCGCAGAGAGGGCCAGACGAGCTTCTTTCATGTAACCCTTCACATTGAACAGAGACTGAACAGGCAGATTCAAAGGATTTATTTCTTTGGAAATGTTATTTTAAATACAATTAAATCAAGTTTTTTTTCGGTAAAACTAATGAAAAATATAACAAAAATAATATTAAAAAAATATATATTTAAAAAAAAATATATATTTTTTAAATGTTTTTAAATATTATTTTTTAGAATATCTTAGGCCCTCACAGAGGGCCTAGAGGGCCCTGACGGCTCGCCACTGCTGTACGACCAAAACTCACCGCAGCGAATGCGAAACCAGACAACACACAACTTAGCTTTACGGCAATATGTCTTACCTTTGCTGTTTTCTGATCAAAAGTTGTGTTCAATGGCATTAAAACGATAAAAACGCTGCTGAAGGTTAATCCATAGGTTAATCCAATGTGTCTGTCACTTTGAAATGATTACTGATAATCCATCATAGCATTTATGTCAAAAACTGAGATTTCATATCAAGCTCCTATGAGAGCTACAACCCAGCTTCCGGTTTTGGGCATTCTGGCTACGCATCACTCATTCACCAATGGGTAATGTTTAGATGGATTTTAGGAACTTCCCCTCGATTCTCAACGCACGCCGCCGTGTGGACGGGCCGTTGCGGCCCGTCCACACGGCGGCGTGCGTTGACTCTTCAACGCTTCTGTCCATTCACTTTGAATGGGGTGACGTCACGCTTCACTGAACTGCATTGTGGGAGCGTCGCTACGCGTTGCTCGCGGTGCTCGCTGCAAAAGTTGAGCAATGTTCAACTTTTGAAGCTTCGACGGAGGCGTCAGCCAATCAAATCCCGCTTATGCAAATCTGACAGTACAAGCGCTAGCCAATCAAACCGCGTGTATGCTGGGAGAGACATACCGCAGGTCATTTCCTCATGTTCCAAAAAATGGAGGATAAAATAATTATAGCAGTAGGGAATCACCCGGTCCTATACGACCAGTCCCTCTTTATCTACCGGGATACAAACTGGAGGAGCCAGGCATGGAGGGAGGTGGCAGAGACAGTGGTAGGTTTTCGCCTGTTTGGGGAGTTTATATCCAGTTTACTTCGGGCTTTTTTGCTTTGTATGTCGGGGGCGGGAGATTCATGTGATTGGTTGTTGGTCGCTTTGCTCGCGAGAAATCCCCAAGCTTCACACACGCCCACCGGCAAGCTTCAACGCACGCCGCCGTGTGGACGGGCCGTAACGGTTCAAAACAGGTGTCAATCATCAAAATCGACCGAGGGGGGCCAGAGATATGGCAAATACACCCAAATGACCCCAGAAGTGGGTTTTTTAAACCTCTCTAAAAAGGTCAAATGTCACTTGTTTTGCATCAATCTTGATACAGGGTACTTATTATATGTTATAGTTTGGATTCCTAAAGCTTTTAGTCTCCGATCCCATCATTCAAGGGTGGTTTTCACAATAAGTAATGTTTTCTTTTTGGACGGACACTATAATTTACATTTTTTTACTATGTTCAATCTGAGTTTACTTTAAAATAAAAAAAATTCTATATTGATTCTGACTTTTCTACATCCAACTCACAGGTTTATCATTACTTTGAGAAAAAAGATTATTAATTTACCCCTTTTAGAAGGGAAGATATGGTCATTTGTTCTGGGAATGTCATTTTCGAGGCTGAGACCTGAAAAACAGCCTCGGGGCTCAACTGGCAGAGTGACCGTTGAACACCTTCTTTGGAAATAAACAGTTGTTGATGTTTTAGATGTCCTTGCTGCTGTTGGCTGATAGCCATTTGGCATCATTACTGTAGTGTGTGTGTGTGTGTGTGTGTGTGTGTGTGTGTGTGTGTGTGTGTGTGTGTGTGTGTGTGTGTGTGTGTGTGTGTGTGTGTGTGTGCGTGCGTGCGTGCGGCGTGCGTGCGTGCGTGCGTGCGTGCGGCGTGCGTGCGTGTGTGTGTGTGTGTATAAAAGTCACGGCTCGCCACTGGTGAGGACTGTGTGCAGTTTAATCCTCAGAGGACTCCAGCATGATGAAGCAGCTTTCTCTTCTTCCTCTTCTTCTTCTCTTCAGTCTCCTGACTGGAAACTCGTCTGCCTGCACAAACGGTGAGAACACTTACACTCTTATTCACACAACATTACGTCATTTATGTAATTTAATTACATCTAAAAGGCTAAAAAAACATGCAGAAATCTGGAAACAGAATATTATTAGGCTTCTTTTTTGTTGTTCATGTGGAAATGTAGAACAATATCTAAAGTAATGCATCACCAGTAGAAAGCCAATAAGGAAAAGGAGCGCCCATTGCAACATGATTATAACCTGATCAATATAATAAACAAGATATCTAAAGGTCTCTTCTTATCAGTCTAAGCCATAATCATCATCTTATTGTAATAGGCCTTTATATAGTGCTCTCATAGAAACACCATTAAGGGATGTCTTTACACAAAAACATGTATGGATCTTTATAAAATAAATAAAGTATTCAGCTGAGATTCAGTGTTCTTTTCCTCAAATAGGATTCAATGTAATAACTTCTGGTAAAATGGGAGTGAGGAACAAAATCCTACATATATGATATCAGAAAGTATTTCTATGAAGACAGAGGAAGAATAATTCTTCATCACAAAATATAAAACTATTGGGATCAATGTTGAACCTTGCATTCATCCATTGTGTTCAATATGTTCACATGTGTATGTCACGTAAGGTTCATATTTCTTTAAAGTGTTAACGAGAGGCTTCGAAAAAAAAAAATCTGAAATGTTTTTAAACAGCTCTGATTTTACCAAAAGTCATCTCTGCTGAGCTAAAGGCTGCTAATGACATATCAAAGTGTAAATGTTGCATATCATATCTTCTTATTGTTTTATTTTAAAGGTGCACCGTCATATTTGGATGGCAATCTAACAAAAAGCAGTGTTGCCGGATATTTGTATTGTAGTGTTTTTGAATCCAATGAATTTCATCCAGAACTAAAAAGAATACAACTCTGAGTTTTTATCAAACTGCCCATAAACTGGTGTGTGTGTGTGTGTGTGTGTGTGTGTGTGTGTGTGTGTGTGTGTGTGTGTGTGTGTGTGTGTGTGTGTGGTGTGTGTGTGTGTGTGTGTGTGTGTGTGGTGTGTGTGTGTGTGTGTGTGTGTGTGTGTGTGTGTGTGTGTGTGTGTGTGTGTGTGTGTGTGTGTGTGTGTGTGTGTGTGTGTGTGTGTTCAGCCTCTGCAGGTGAACACACTGAGTAACACATGTTTCTATCTTCCAGCTGACAGCAAAGTGATCTCCACAGAAGGGACAGATGTTATTTTACCCTGCTCCCCCAGCACCAGAGAAAACCTCCAATATAAACTGTTTGACTGGAAGAAGGTCGGTCAGGGAGGAGAAACTCAGCACGAAGTCTTCCTGTACGCTTCTGGTGTTCAATATGATGGTATTAAAGCAGGTCAGAGTGAGCAGTTTAAAGGACGAGTCTCACATTTTGAAGATGAACTGAAGCACGGAAACGCCTCCATCATCATCAAGAAGACGAAGGTGATCGACAGTGGAAATTACACCTGCGATTTTCCACGTCTACAGCCTAGTGAAAAATTCTGCATTGAGCTCATTGTTGGTGAGTATTCTCATAAGACAGTAAATAAGCCTTCTTATATACAGAAATAAACAAATCTCATGTACAAGTCTCACCTGCAGCATTCATTCTCCTGTGAGACAATGTTCATCTGCTCTGTCTTCTAATAAACAGACACACTGTTGGATAACCATCAGCCATATTAGTGAAACATGTTCTCATGTTACTGTCCAGCAGACACTGTTTCTGTAAGGACTGACACAAACAAGCTAAATCTGAGATGGTGCTTCTTTTCAAGATTAAGATAGTACATATTTGTTGTATAACACGTTTCTGAGGACAGCTGATAATATCATCCAAGAATTGTAACACACTCCTGTTTTTTTGCCTTTCAGATCCTATCTTAACCTCTTGAGGCTTATCACAGTTATGCACATGTATGCCTCTTTATATGCTCCAATGTGAACCTCTTATTATTTCCAAGGTCTTGAGGTACTGAAATATATCCATTGCCTCATTGTTAATTAATCCCTAAGCTTTCATGCAGTGTGTTCGTCTTCCTTGTAGCACTAACACAGGTTGTGCATGGAGGGAATTCATGGAAAAAATAAATCATTTGTTGTGATTATCATTTTATTTCGTATTTTAAATACAGTAAATCAGTCATAATAAGAGCCATCAGGCTGATATTTACAGGATATCTACCTTAACTTGTGTTTAATGTCTGTTCAAAGTTTTAAGTTGATTGACATAAGTGGCTCTGAGATATTTTAGAAAGTGCAATACAGATCACCTCCAGCAGAGGACTCTATAGCTCTACTAAACTTATTTAAAGTTACCAAACAATAATAACAAATCTCTTTTTAATTATAAAAAAATTAACATAAGTTTTAGATCTAACCATAAAATGATGTTGTTAACATTTTAATAAATATTTAAATATTTATAATCATTAAATCCTGCCTCCATGAACATATAAGTAAAGTTTCTCTGTTATGTGGGTCTCCTACCGCCACAGACAGTCCAGCTACATTCACTTCCATATATGGTCAGCAGGTAATATAATTGGCTACAAGCTCACCGTGTTTTCAGAATGCTGGCTTACCATTGGATGAAAGTAGCTGTCAATAAGAAACACATGCCGCGCACGTCAAAGAGCTCGCCTCTGATTGGCTGATTGAGTTAAAGGGCCGTTAGTGACGTCACTTTAGTTCGCAGAAAGATGGCGATTGGTTCATTTTGTTCGGGGGCGTTTACTGATTTCAGAGATACCGAACATCATTGGTTGAATACTTTGTCGATACTTTAAATTGACAGAAGAAAAGTTCTTTTGGAAGTTTAACGAGCGGAGCTAAAACTAAACGAGGGACACAATTGACATTTATTCACGTTATTTCTGACTGACGATTAAACAAAAACGAGGTAAATGTAATCGGTTAACCTTTGTTCTTTAAAACGAGTAATTATTCTCCACATGTATGTGTTTTTGGTGTTTTAAATACATATTAACTGCGGCTTGACAGCATAGCCGTTAAGGAGCTAACGGTTTACTGCCGTAAAGTAACACGCGACTGTTTACATTTTAAAAAACGCAAAAATTAGATTCTTAAATCCGTTGAAAAAACGAAGATTTAAGGTTTCAAACGATGTATAATTTGTCTGTAATGACTTGTACAATAATATTAAATGATGTAGTTTAGTTGTTTATTCGTTTTTAATGTAAATCTCGGGTCGTCTGCAACCTCCGCGCTTTATAACGTTAAAGGACAGAACAGAGGAAAAGATCGAAGGTGAGTCCTGAATCTGAAGACTAGTGGATGGTCTCATTACACATCATTAAAATGGAAACATGTTAAATACATTCAATAGTCTTGGTTTGGTTCCTGCACATTTGAATCATAGACTTGATTTGTAAAAATATCTTTATTTTCTGAATTTGGAATATTCTGAAAAAATAACCCCAGAATTTGAGTCAATTTGTTTTTATCCATTTGTATAAAGTTTTCATTTAACATTTTGAATGGGACTTTGTGGGGATTTTTGGATGGGGGTGCATTTTTGTTCATTTTTTAATGAGTGGGGTTGGGGGGGATGAGTAACATTTAATTCAACATTCCTGTTTTCGTTCTTCAATGAAACAAATAATTGTTCAATAAAATAATTAAAACTTGTTCTGTTCTACTTAAAAAAAATTATTTAAAAAAAATCTGTTGAAATGTCATGTTTTTTTGTTTAATTTTGCATCGAATATTTCCAAAATTCCCCAGCTTAACTTCCCATGGAAACTTTCCGGAAATTTACCGGAAACTTTCCGCCCCTTTGCAACCCTAGTACTAGGTAGTATGTATGATTTCTATCTCCTGTGGACCTGCAGGATGGAGTCAGAACAAATGTCCTTACAGGGACAATAAAGTTTATCGTATCATAAATCTGCGTTCATGATTCACGGTGAACAGCTCTGTGCTGACTTTGTGTTTCTGGTGTTGCCGAGCTCTGTGCTCAACATTTAAATTATTTCAACTTTGACCTTTCTACGCACATCCAATCAGAACAGCTGTGCTAAGTGACACAAGCTAGCAGAGGAGGAAACTCAGAAACTGAACTTAACTGTTTTCACCACAAAGTTCTGAGGACAACCTGCAATAAGCAAAGAGCAAATCATGTGAATGCAGATTAATAGTTACCAAAGTTTAAGAAGAATTGTTTGAAATGTCAGATTATGATGGGATGGGAAATTGAGTCTTTTATTGTCAGGGCTTCTTGGGTTTTGATTTAATCTTATACATGATCTCACAACCATTTTCAAGAAAAGAGACGAGCAAAAAACATCAAAATATTTCATTTATAAAGTTGTTTATCATCTGTTGTTTCTATTATGTTCCCAGGTACAGCTTCAGAGCCGTCTGTCACAATTCTTGAGGAAACAAAGGACTGGTCTCTGCTTCAGTGTCTGGTTCGAGGAGCTTTCCCTGAACCTCTCCTCCAGTGGAAGGACAGTTCTGGAAACATGGTCCCTGCTGCAGAGCCTCAGGTCTCAGAGAGAGGAGGCAGCTACGACGTGATCCTCCAAACTACTGTCACCAAAACAGACAACTACAGCTGTGTAGCTTCACAGGAGGAGATCAACCATCAGAGTAAACCTGCACACATCTACGTGCTTCTAAATGGTGAGATATCATTTTAATTGCTCGTGTGTTTTAAAAAAAAATATATTTAATGTGTGTTCATACTAAACACAAAGGAAAAATGAATTCACCTTTAGGAGCATGTACATTAACTCTGATAATACACTAATACAGTATTTGTGAAGTCACTCTGATGGTTAGCTTCATGCTTGTTGCTCCAGTGTTTCAGATCGATTGGTCACTGAGAAGTGGAGCTTAGCTTTTACTCCTAAAAACCTCTTCTTTCTGCCTCCTGAGGATGCTCTTTTCCTGAAAATCACTAATATCTAAAATGTACTGACATGTTTTTCATTCTGATCATATTCAATACTACAAATTACTGACTGAGCCACTGAGTCCCTTATTTACATACAAATAAAAACTCTATAGGCATCATAAATTAAACTTCATGTTGTACAGGTGAACCTCATAAAGGAACCCACTGAATGTATCACTGACTAAAAAACTCTGATTACACAACGGGTGCTGCTCGTGCTTTTAAATACCCTATATGTGTGTAAAACGTTAGTGTATTAAGAGTCGGTGTCTAATCACAAGTTCTGGAACCAAGCAATGAGTTAATAAACGACCTAAAGGTTCCTCTGAGGTAAACACTGAATCAGGAGAAATATGGAATCTCAATCCCTGACTATATTTTGGGAATTCCTTTCAAATGAACATTGTTTTATTACAAGGAGAAGCTACTGTTGTTTCCCCTAAGACTTTATATTTAAAGGGGACCTATCATGCAAAATGCACTTTTGTACGTCTTTTATACATGAATATGTGTCCCCGGTGTTCCAGGGAACTCACCAAGTGTCAGAAAACACAACCCTCTCTATTTTCCTCCATACCCAAATCTCTAAAAAAGGGGCTGCAACGGATCTGATACAGACTGATCCAGATTTGAACACTGTCCTGACGTCAGGACGGTGGCGCTACGGCTATTGGGCCAACTCCACCAATCAGGAGGAGACAGCCACGGCCATTGCCGTTCGAAAGCGCTGGAGACGCTGTAGTACATATGCCAGGCCTGTAAGTGGCGCTGTAGTCTGCCACAAAAGCAGCGAAGAAGACTTCCCGCCCATAGTTACCATGGTTACCCTTCTGTTTATTCTCCGCTGTGGCTTTCTTTCTCCCTCCCCGAGGCAAGCGTTTGCTCCCGCTGCTTTAATTCAATGCAATCCCTCCCCGTCGAGGCAAGCACTGTAATTCTCTCCGGTTAGTCCACCAGCAGATGACAAACACCCACCTCTCCGCCTCTTCCAAGGAACGAGGGGACCGTGCGGCAGAGTTTCAGTTTCAGTTTCTTTCGCCGGTCAAGATGTCCGTTAAAGTTTAAATCTTCCGGACAAAATTAGAAAAGTGCCGGTCAAAGGTCTTCTTTGTTATTTATTGAGCTTTAAAACAAATAAATAACGACTCTATATAATAAAACACGGAGGACGGAGATCTCTTTTTCTCCCCCTCTTCTGACAGCCCAGCAGCTGATCAGAGCACGTCTACCCTCTCCTGCAGGGGGGCGTGGTCAGCAGAATCAGACCCGTAGACAGCAAACAGCAAATAGAGCGAAATGAGGCATGGCTAAAATGCATGATCTGTTTGGTATTTTGAAAACAGAAACGTATAAATATACCTTATATAGGTATGGCCCTACAATATATCATTTAAATATAGCATGATAGGTTTCCTTTAATCATTAATCATGGTGACTTTCTACAGCTGTGATTATACATTAACGTACTCATTACTGAGCTGAACATGATGTGCAGTCTCATCTCACATGTTACATACAAGAGTTAGAGGGCCAAACTTCTCCATCATGAACATTGAGAAGTTTTGTGAAGCATGACACATAATAATAATAATAATAATAATAATAAAGAAGATAAACTTTATTAATCCCCAACGGAGGAATTACTTTTTCCCTCACGTTACACACACTGGTTAATAGTTGGCACCTCTCCAGGTACCAGTCCACACTCCGTATTTGGTTTGATCGGGACGTGAACCGGCGACCCTTTGGTATAAAAAACCCACAATATACAGTATTCACCATCACGTCAAAAAAACTAAATGTAGTGCCCAGATGTGGTTTCTTCACCTCTTCACTGTCACACAGGGTTTGTTGACTTCATGATAACATTACATGGTTATTATTGGGATCATAGTTAGTGGTGGTGTTGTACTAGATTACATCGCTTCTATATAAGTCACAGTCCAGCACCACTCCACCACTCACTGACCTGAATGATACATAATGTTTAACAAGAGCATCATCTCCTGACTGAGAGATGTGTGATAAACTCAACCTGGAATATCAGACAGACATATACGACTGTATCAACTATAATATCGAACATGGATGCAGGTGAACACAATATTTTCAGCACAACATTTGAATTATTTCAACTTTGACCTTTTTTACTGCTGACATTTCAAGGCACAACCAATCAGAAGGCAGATGTGCTAAGAGGCACAAGCTAGCAGAGGAGGAAACTCAGAAACTGAACTTAATAGTTACCAAACTTTAGTTAGAATTGTTTGAAGTATCAGATAATGATGGGATGGGAAATTGAGTTATTTTGTGAGCATTTCCTGTTCTTTTATTTCATCTTAAACACGACCTAATAACCGTTTTCAAGAAAAGAGATGAGCAATAAACATCTAAATGTTTAATTTATGAAGCTGTATATCATCTGTTGTTTCCATTATGTTCCCAGGTGCAGCTTCAAAACCATATGTCCTAATTCTTGAAGAAACAAAGGACCGGGCGCTGCTTCAATGTGAAGTTAATGGAGCTTTCCCTAAACCTCTCCTCCAGTGGACGGACAGTTCTGGAAACATGGTCCCTGCTGCAGAGCCTCAGGTCTCAGAGAGAGGAGGCAGCTACGACGTGATCCTCCAAACTACTGTCATCAAAACAGACAACTACAGCTGTGTAGCTTCACAGGAGGAGATCAAGAGTAAACCTGCACACATCTACGTGTCTCTCAGTGGTGAGATTCTCCCTATTCTCTTTTTGTGTAATTTAATATATCTTAAATGTTTTAAATGGTTTCAATCTGAATGGAAAGTTGAATCTGAAACTCTGAGCCTCCTCTTCATGAAAGAGATGAGAGGAAGACTGAGAGAGGCTGAGAAAATAAAGAGCTGCAGTTTGTAGTGAATACTGAGATCAGTGACATAGGGTTAGGGTTACACACACACACACACACACACACACACACACACACACACACACACACACACACACTGTAAACCCCTCCAACAGCTCCCCTCTCAGATCAAATGGAGACAAACAGGAACTCTGAGTTCAGTCTGAATTCAGCGTTCTTAGAAACATGTTAGTCATTGATCACTGAGACGTTCTACAGCTGAGATGAAACATGAAGACCACGTTCACTTTCTCTCAGAGTTCCATTCACTGGCTTTAAACACAGGGAGACTTTGAGGACAGAAGACATGGAGACGTGTCGTGCAGCTCGACTCCAACATCAACACAAGCTGAGGATCTGATCTGAGTATCAGCTGCTGTCAGATACATGACATCAGAGATCGTGGTTTGAGTCTAGATGCTCATGAATCAGATCCAACACCACGAGGGTCTCATCAGGGTCTAACCATCAGTCAGTTTCAGATGGTTGGAGGAAACATTACCAATAAATGATATGTATTTTGTTTCCAGTGTTCCTTCTTTTGTTTTCCCAATCACTCTGACATGTTTTCTTTTGTATTTTAGGAGAAGAATCAGAGAAGAGATCAGGATAGTCCTGATTTTAACTAATCTAATATTTAACTGAAAGCTAAGAGAATAGTAACTGTGTTAGACTTGATTCTTTGTGAATGTGTGTCGAGCCCTGAGTCTTTCCCTCAGTGAGTCCACGTGTCCTCAGAGCAGAATCTACATGTTCTTTATAGAGTTTTCTGAATGAGTGGAAGTGTCTTTGTGTTTGGAGGCTCTGCTGCATAAACCCAGAGTGAGTTCCCCTCTGTAGAAACATCAGGATGTGAATCTGCTCTTCACTGAGCTGCAGTCAGGGAGGAGGACGTTCTTCAGGAGGAGGAGCAGAACCTCTCTGTAGAAACACTCACAGTAAACTTTAGTCATTAGAGGATCAGCAAACTAGCATCACATGTTATAAGATGATCACATGTTTCAATGTGTCAGATCAAAGGGACTTCATCTCTCAGACAGATGCAGTCAAACACTGAATATATTGCCCTCTGACATGTTTTGGAGTATACATCAAAACTAAATGGACATCCTCGTGTAATTTGTAGAGGAAAGTGTGTGTTGAGTGAACATCTCTGTTTTCTCTGCAGAGCTCGGCTTCAGATGTTCTCTGACTGAGAGCTTTAATCTGATGAGAACAACTTGCTCTGACCGTCTGAGTAACATGAACCTTTCTCTTTAGGGTCGAACACTGGATGGATTGTTCTTTCTGGAGTTCTCGGCGCTGGTTTTTTTGTAGTTCTCGTGGTTCTTGTTGTTGTTGGTGTTGTTTATTGCATCAAACGTAAGTAACGTTTAAATAATGTTTACATCACCGGATTAACAGATTTTGAATGTATATAATGATTCTGCTGGTATTTACACCCAGAGCATCTTAAAGTCAGGTGGGATCTTAAATATCATTTTGTTTTCCTTCCTTCAGATCAGAAAAAGTATGCTGCAGTTAAAGGCGTGGGACACAGTGGATAGAGCCTTGGTGTTGGGATCAGATGGTCACAGGTTCAAACCCCACTGCAGTCAGCATGTCGTTGTGTCCCTGAGACACTTCACCCCAAAGTGCTCCTGTGGGGATTGTCCACAGTATTGAGTATGTAAGTCGCTGTGGATAAAAGCGTCTAACAAGTAACATGTCATGTAATGTAATGTATTATAAGTAATTCAATGACAGAAAGCGAAGAATTCCTCTCAGATCCCGCCTCTTGTGGATGAAACCCTACTGGACAAAAAGAAAGACAGTTCACCTGTGCTGAGGTGTCTGTGTTTTACACTGTACTGTGATATGTGAGGACATTTGATCTGCTCCTGATTCATTTCAGAGAGTTAAGAGCTGGTTTGGAGGTTAAAGGGAGTTTTAGGTTAACAGGAGGCTGTGGTTCTATGGTAAAATATGATATATGTCACTTGTTAGACGCTTTTACCCAAAGTGACTTGCATACACTCAGTACTGTGTGGGGTGAAGTGTCTTGCCCAGGGACACAATGACATGCTGACTCTAGTAGGCATTGAACCAGTGCTCCCCTTATTTGAAGATCAGTGCACTAATCCACTTAGCCATTAATAGTTTATGTTGAAATTTGACATTTTGTGTGACAGAAAATCTACTTTAAGAAAAAACTAAACATTGAAATGCCTTAATTTCTTTAAAGAAGACATTTCCTTTCACTGTGTTTTATCTTTTATATATTTGTTTGCGTTTTTCCTTTCTGCATGTCTATATATTGATTAATTCCAGGTTACAGTCATTAAGCAGGATATTAGTAATACAAAACAAATAATAAAAGTTACAAGAATTTTAATGGATCAAGTCATAAGGGGATAATGTCACTTGGAGTTTGACCAAAAATGTCATTAATATAAACTAAACTCTAAATACTTTCAGTAGTTTTTGTGTAGATTAATGTTAATTACTTAGATAAATTCATGTAATCCTGTATAGAGCTACTTTATGCTTCTGATCCTCAGCTGTGAAACACCTGCATGCTGTCAGTTAGTCCTCAGCTTCTGTCCAGCTGTCCTTCAGAGAGTGACCGGATGAATGAGGACATTCTAACAGCTCCATAGTTGTAGTCCTCTAACAGCTCCATAGTTGTAGTCCTCTAACAGCTCCATAGTTGTAGTCCTCTAACAGCTCCATAGTTGTAGTCCTCTAACAGCTCCATAGTTGTAGTCCTCTAACAGCTCCATAGTTGTAGTCCTCTAACAGCTCCATAGTTGTAGTCCTCTAACAGCTCCATAGTTGTAGTCCTCTAACAGCTCCATAGTTGTAGTCCTCTAACAGCTCCATAGTTGTAGTCCTCTAACAGCTCCATAGTTGTAGTCCTCTAACAGCTCCATAGTTGTAGTCCTCTAACAGCTCCATAGTTGTAGTCTAACAGCTCCATAGTTGTAGTCCTCTAACAGCTCCATAGTTGTAGTCCTCTAACAGCTCCATAGTTGTAGTCCTCTAACAGCTCCATAGTTATAGTCCTTTGACAGCTCCATAGTTGTAGTCCTCTGACAGCTCCATAGTTGTAGTCCTCTAACAGCTCCATAGTTGTAGTCCTCTAACAGCTCCATAGTTGTAGTCCTTTAACAGCTCCATAGTTGTAGTCCTTTAACAGCTCCATAGTTGTAGTCCTTTAACAGCTCCATAGTTGTAGTCCTTTAACAGCTCCATAGTTGTAGTCCTTTAACAGCTCCATAGTTGTAGTCCTTTAACAGCTCCATAGTTGTAGTCCTTTAACAGCTCCATAGTTGTAGTCCTTTAACAGCTCCATAGTTGTAGTCCTTTAACAGCTCCATAGTTGTAGTCCTCTAACAGCTCCATAGTTGTAGTCCTCTAACAGCTCCATAGTTGTAGTCCTCTAACAGCTCCATAGTTGTAGTCCTTTAACAGCTCCATAGTTGTAGTCCTTTAACAGCTCCATAGTTGTAGTCCTTTAACAGCTCCATAGTTGTAGTCCTCTAACAGATGCTCTCCTGCTGCTTGTAGTTCTTAAAGGATGTAGAGACGGCATTCACAGAAACTCTCTGATCTGAAGCTGCTGTAAAGAAATGTACTCTGGAGCTGGAATATAATGTGACTTATTTTATATATTTTTGTATTGACATTGTTTATTACGAGCTTGTTGTTAAAGTGCTAATCCAAAGTATATCAGCTGAATGATGACCTGCTGTTACTGTGATGCTTGAACTGTTTTTATCTAAAAGCTCCATTATGATGTTCTCTGATGCTCTGCAGGGTTTCTATGCTGTCATTTAAACTGTACCATTTATATCCAAATGTTTGAATAAAACATGAAACAAGTCAATCTGTGTGTTTGGACTGATATTTAATTATATATTTTCACATGGGTTTCATAGATGCACTTTAATGAAACCTTTGTATACTCGTTTTAATTATCATTTGTGAGCATTTTACGACTTTCTTAAATAAGTTGGTAGAGAGATGACAGAAAACTTAAAGGGGACCTATCATGCAAAATGCACTTTTGTACGTATTTTATACATGAATATGTGTCCCCGGTGTTCCAGGGAACTCACCAAGTGTCAGAAAACACAACCCTCTCTATTTTCCTCCATACCCAAATCTCTAAAAAAGGGGCTGCAACGGATCTGATAAAAACTGATCCAGATTTGAACACTTTCCTGAAGTCAGGACGGTGGCGCTACGGCTATTGGGCCAACTCTCCACCTATCAGGGGAATGTGGGGTTGGGCCACGGCCGGCCATTGCTTGCCTCGGGGAGGGAGAAAAAAAGCCACAGCGGAGAATAAACAGAAGGGTAACCATGGTAACTATGGGCGGGAAGTCTTATTCGCTGCTTTTGTGGCAGACTACAGCGCCACTTACAGGCCTGGCATATGTACTACAGCGTCTCCAGCGCTTTCGAGCGGCAATGGCCGGCCGTGGCCCAACCCCACATTCCCCTGATAGGTGGAGAGTTGGCCCAATAGCCGTAGCGCCACTTCTGTGACGTCATAGAAGTGTTCAAATCTGGATCAGTTTTTATCAGATCCGTTGCAGCCCCTTTTTTAGAGATTTGGGTATGGAGGAAAATAGAGAGGGTTGTGTTTTCTGACACTTGGTGAGTTCCCTGGAACACCGGGGACACATATGCATGTATAAAAGACGTACAAAAGTGCATTTTGCATGATAGGTCCCCTTTAAGAGAGGTGAAACACACTGTAAACAGGTTGTTTAACAGATACTGCATAATAAATAATAATAAAGGGTATTTATATTTGTATTTATATACCACTTAAGATACAAGAGACTAAGCTCAAAGTGCTCACAGAAACACACTTAAACTTAAACTTAAAAAATTAATACAGTTGTAAAAAAGATGATGAATATATAGACTGAGTGAAAGTAGATAAATACAATACATTAAGAGAGATACCATTGAGAATTACTTAAATTAAAGAAAAGTCAAAATTCAATAAAAAAGGGACATTATTTATCAAGCATTCATTTTTGTAATTCAGCTTTTCCCCTCACATGACTTCTCATACTAAATATTTGTTTTACAATATTTTAAGATATATTAGTACATGGTTTTATCCTGATTTCACATTAACATCAGTACACTTTCTAAATGTAGTGTACATGTTTCTTTATGTTATCGGTAGATTTCTGGATGGCTGCTCCTCTGTTACTCTGTTCTTATTCAACAGGCTGAAGTCACCGTAAGGAAGGAGTAAGAACCAGTTTGAATCTTCCTTATTTACTTAATCTAACTTTCACTTCCTCCATAATAAGTGGTATGACAGGATTTAAACAAAGTCACTGTTGAACACATTCTTTGTAAATAAACAGTTCAAGTCTGTGTTGATTTTGGAGATGTTCGTAGTGCTGTTGGCTGGTAGCCATTTGGCGCGTGTGTGTGTGTGTGTGTGTGTGTGTGTGTGTGTGTGTGTCTTCTGCACTCTTTCAAATGTAGTTCATTGTTTACACTCTTGAAAAAAATGTAGGAGGAAGACTTCTTCTTGGGAACTTCATCTTAAAATATGTGAGCAGTGCATGCTGGGAGAATTGTACCCTCATTACCAAGTTACTGGGAATTTAACCAATGCAGTGAAATAATAAAGATCCAAATCACAAAATAACTTCTTAATCTATTCTGTGCTAAACTAAATCTGCTTTTATTGTGGAGAAATGCACCGGAAGTGCTGCTGCTAAGAAAGTAAGCTGCAGGTGAGTACAGGTGAAACAATGCAGAGAATATGTGGTTGAATTGTAGTGTTTTATATAATGAACATCTTCAGTGTTAGTGTTGCAGTACTTTTTGTATGTTGTTAGTCAGTCTGATACATTTTGCAGAATTCACCAAATAAAATGAGGATAGGATTTTATTCTGAAGGACTTGAAGCAGGAAGTGATGCAGAAACCTCTAGAAGACTTTCTATTTTAAGTGAGAGATTATGGGAAGTGATTGGGATGGGCTGGAGTGTGTGTGAGGAGTGTGTGCAGTTTAACCCTCCAGCATGATGAAGCAGCTTCCTCTTCTTCCTTTTCTTCCTCTTCTTCCTCTTCTTCTTCTCTTCAGTCTCCTGACTGGAAACTCGTCTGCCTGCACAAACGGTGAGAACACTTACACTCTTATTCACACAACATTATGTCATTTTGGTAATTTAATTACATCTAAAAGGCTGAAAAAACATGCAGAAGTCTGGAAACAGAATATTATTAGTGTGCTTTTTATTGGTCATAGGGAAATGTAGAACAATATCTAAAGTAATGCATCATCAGTAGAAAGCCTATGAAGAAAAGGAGCGCCCATTGCAACATGATTATAACCTGATCAATATAATAAATAAGATATCTAAAGGTCTCTTCTTATCAGTCTAAGCCATAATCATCATCTTATTGTAATAGGCCTTTATATAGTGCTCTCATAAAAACACCATTAAGGGATGTCTTTACACAAAAACATGTATGGATCTTTATAAAATAAATAAAGTATTCAGCTGAGATTCAGTGTTCTTGTCCTCCACTAGGATTCAATGTAATAACATTTCTGGTAAAATTAGAGAGAGAGAGCAAAGAAATAATAGATATGACATCAGAATGTATTGCTATAAAGAAAAATGACATTTAAAATTTTGTTCAGATATATTCACATCCAATCCATTTAATCCAGATCTAAAATGAATAAAACTGACTTTTTATCAAATGGCTCATAAATGTGTGTGTGTGTGTGTGTGTGTGTGTGTGTGTGTGTGTGTGTGTGTGTGTGTGTGTGTGTGTGTGTGTGTGTGTGTGTGTGTGTGTGTGGGTGTGTGTGTGTGTGTGTGTGTGTGTGTGTGTGTGTGTGTGTGTGTGTGTGTGTTCAGCCTCTGCAGGTGAACACACTGAGTAACACATGTTTCTATCTTCCAGCTGACAGCAAAGTGATCTCCACAGAAGGGACAGATGTTATTTTACCCTGCTCCCCCAGCACCAGAGAAAACCTCCAAAAGAAACTGTTTGACTGGAAGAAGGTCGGTCAGGGAGGAGAAACTCTGCACGAAGTCTTCATGTACGATTCTGCTGTTCATTATGAACGTCATTCAGGTCAGAGTGAGCAGTTTAAAGGACGAGTCTCACATTTTCAAGATGAACTGAAGCACGGAAACGCCTCCATCTTCATCAGGAAGACGAAGGTGATTGACAGTGGAAGTTACACCTGCGTTTTTCCACGTCTACAGCCTCGTGAAGAATTCTGCATTGAGCTCGTTGTTGGTGAGTATTCTCATAAAACAGCAAATAAGCCTTCTTATATACAGATACAAACAAGTCTCATACACATTAAATCTGCAGCATTCATTCTCCTGTGAGACAATGTTCATCTGCTCTGTCTTCAA